ACATTTTCCATCATCGATTTTAATCGACTTAGTCGATTAGTTTTTGCAGCCCTGGTCACATCAGTCTCTGTACAGAGGAGCTTACACTCTAATGCCCCCCCCCACAGTCACATCAGTCTCTGTACAGAGGAGCTTACACTCTAATGTCCTCCCAACAGTCACATCAGTCTCTGTACAGAGAAGCTTACACTCTAATGTCCCCCCAGTCACATCAGTCTCTGTACAGAGAAGCTTACACTCTAATGCCCCCCCACACGTGATGTCACTTCCGGCGGTCAGATGAAAAGCTGCGCCGATAGGGCCCCAGCCTGCTCCGATGCCTGTATAGGTAATGCTGGGGCCCGGCCCTGCTACGGCCGGCCTCCTCCTGCACTGCGGGGGCTCGGCCGCCTCCTCGCTTGTCACTGGCGGCCGATACTCATGTAAGGGTCCTGGGCGGGCCCTTAAGGCTGCCCGGGCCCCTTACATGAGTATCGGCAGTAGCCTCCTGACGGCGGCCCTGATAATGAGCACCACCGTATTCACTTTGGTCACAGCACTTCATATGTAGGTCATAACTCTGCTCTAAATATGAATGAATAGTAAATACAATGCAACAATACATTGTTGCATTGTATTTACTCAATAACACTTGCAGATTATCTACAAGTGTCATCTTACACAGGAGTGATGGCATTTAGACAGCTGCTCCTGTTGCATAATGCAAGCAATTACTCACTAACTAATTGTCGGTAATAGTAGTGAGGAGATCAGTGGCAGGGGGAAAGGAGTTGAACGTTAGAGCTGCATTCTAAAAATTTCTGTATCTCTATCCTTTAAATTTCTGAAGTGGTCAAAGTAAGAAAAGGTCACTTTCAGTAATAATGTGAAGCTGAATTAAAGTTGGATTTGATTAATCTTTTCTGGCTAATAAATGTATTTGCACACAGCTTGCAGTGTCTGCTCATAGCCAGAATGTTACATTTCAAAGTGTAAAATGGAAAAACTGGTTAAATTCAAAAGGTACTAAAGCCAACACCCAGTCTCTTTTAAATGTTGCCTAATTTTGTGTCATGTGCCTGTGGAATAAATGTCTTCTGCTATGTTCTACCTGAGACCAATTCATTCACTTGTCGTAGTTTATAACTATAAACCTGCATTTCTGTGAACCTTTGTCTCAATTTACTGCAACTGAAATGCTTCCTCTGCCTTTCTGACTCTAATACTGTGATTAATCTACTCAGTGGAGTGTGCAGAAAAGGGGCTATGTGTCTTTTCATCTGTCCAGTCAGCGAGCTTAATTCTTTTAAGTGTCTTGCTTCCTTGTATTTTTCCATGAACAATTTGCATGTGTCTTGAAACATGCATGCCATATGGACTCCTACTGAAAATATGTCCTATGAGCAGCTGTAAAATCAGATATGTTATTTTTCTGAACAGCTATTTTGATTTGTTCGGGAAGGCATGCATTTAACTGCAATGCTAACAAAACTACAATTGTCTCTGTTTATAGCTCAACCTGGCAAGCTAATTATATTTTATTATTATTATACAGGATTTATATAGCGCCAACAGTTTGTGCAGCACTTTACAATACCTTTCTACTGCTGAGTGCCCAATAAGCTGTTAACAGTTCTCAGGAACTTATCCTTTACGTTGTTTAACTTGGTCCAGAGAAAAAAAAGGTCACAAATGGAGTACATTTTTGTTTGCTTAACACTCCCTGTATGCTCACATTTAAAGCAAACCTAAAGTGACATTTTACTTGCCAAAGCACCACTGTCATGGAATTCTTTAGGTCAGCCAGTGAGATCACTCATCACATTGATAGGCCATAGTGAGGCAAGAGTATGGACATGGTCTAGAAGGGAAAGTGGGTGGGATAATTTGGGTAATGTTTGGATATACTCTTTAAGGAATGGTAGTGCCCCTCCTGTTGTTTTCTATATGCAAAAGCACTAAACATACAGAAAGAGATCCTTAGCCAATGATAAATAGGATCATACACATACAACAGAAGCAAAAGTTTTGCCTAGCTTATCATCAAAGAAGAACTCTCTGGACAGAGTAATTCTTAACCCTTGCAGTGGGACTATTCCAACACTGCAAGGGTTAAATTCTCATTATCGTCTAGGGACAAAAATAAAAAAAGTATACTCATCAGAATCTCGGAGCCAGCTGGATGTTGGACTGCTCCCTGCAGTCTCGCTCCCCCTCCGCTCCAGCAGTCTAAGGTCCTGTGAATCATCACATCACATCATGAGGACACTGAGGGACATTACATCGCTGGAATAGAGGAAGAGACAGGCGCTAGGGACCAGTCTAATAGCCAGCCGGATGCCAGGCTCAGGTAAGTATAACTATGTAACATCATATTTTTGTTTTATAGACCAGGAATCAATTTAGTCTTATTTGCATAGCGATGTTATTTTTTTGTGTTTTCTTTTTCCAATTCATGTTTAAATAAAGTTATTTATAAAGTACATGTATGCACATTAAATTAAAATTATTTCTAAAGTGCATGTATGCACATATCCCGAAACCAAAGTAGTGACAGCACTGTTAAAAGGGGGAAACATTTCATGTACAAATAAAAAATATGAAGGTACTATAAACTATGCAAGGTTTCAGTTTTCAATTGGTGTTTGATGTGCTAAGCAAGGGTTAATGCTGCATAGGTCTGTTGGTGCATGTCTCCTCACCTCCTCCATCATGGTGTTGTGTGTTCCTCCTCTTGATTGATAGGCTCTGCACTGTGAACCCACCTTGAGCTTTTGACTGGTGTTCTCTGACTGGATGTACACAGTGCACATCTTGTCAATCAAATAAAGACTTGTGCAGAACTGTACAATACCATGAAAAAAAGAGAAGATCCAATATTTGTTCAACCAATGTTCTCAGGTGGTTTTGTACAGTGGAGCTTAAAGGGGTCGATCTTACATACATTTTGGGGTTGCATCTATGCCCCTGATCACCCAAGTGATCCAGTACTGTGGCATATTGATATTGATTATTTCTATACATTAATATTATTTGATTTTTAATAGTAACATAAAGCCACCAATATATATGTTTACATCTTGATCTTAACACATTGGTCTTGGGTGTGTTATATTAGAGAAATAGATTATATTGACTTCTTGCTTTATGAATATCTCTTTCCACCAAAAGTTGCCAACCATCCACTGTCTATAAGCTGAATCCAAGTGGAGGTCCAAAAGTCTTTATATCAAGGGTAGGCAGCCTTGGCACTCTGACCTGTGGCTGTCAGAGTCTTACAATGCCTCTTGGGACTTCTAATTCCACAACAGCTGGGGTGCCAAGGATGCCTACCCCTGGTTTACATGATGGTTTTGACACCAATATGAGCAAAATTGGGAAAATTTGAGATGTCCTTTGCCCAGTCCGGGGTAAGAGTATAACTTTTTTTCCCTTCATGCCTAGAAAGTGGTGACTTGCAGTCTTTTTATTTAGCGCAAATTCTTAGGTGCAGTAACCCCTAGCCACCAATCAGAAATCACTTTGCCAAAGCTAGACAGATACAAGATGGATTTTGACTGGTGGTTTTGGTTAGCTGGACTTAAATAACACTAAACTCAGGAGTTAAATCCTAAAAATGCATTAAATTACCTTAACTATTAACAAAAAATTATCTTATTTTTGCATCACTCAGCTGTAGATCCTCAAATCATCTCTGAATTGGTGCTGACACTGTCCTTCCTTCTGGAGGGTGCCTACTTTTGTTCTCCATGGTCACTGTGTGTGTTGTAAAGTAGTCACCGCTCCAAGCTTGCTCCAGTAATGGACTACATTCTCAATACAAACCAGTGAGCTAAACATGAGACTGTAGTTTATCACAGGATCAAGCTTGGAGCAGGGGCTACTTTACAATACACACAGGGACCATGGGGAACAAAAGTAGCCACCCTCCAGAAGGAAGGACAGTGTCAGCACCAATTCAGAGATGATTTGAGGATCTATAGCCGAGTGATACACAAATAAAGCACATTTTGTTAAAAGTTAAGGTACTTGAATGCCTTTTAAGATTGAACTCCTGAGTTTAGTGTCACCTTAAAGTATATTTATAGTTAGTTGTTATTTTTCAGTTTTATTTAGAGTAGGGAAGGGTTAGAAGTTCTGTCAGGCTTATATTGCTTGACACAAATCCATCCATAACCTTAGGTGTGCTGGCTATTTGTACTCTTAGGTTTATATTGTCGTGTTCTCACTGGGGAGATTCACCCTCCCACCATACCCAACAGGATCCAGACAGCAAAGAAACAAACTGACAAGGGTTCTAACCATTCCCTACCCTATCTAAAACTAAAAAAAGTTTGCACTTTAATTGCACTTTAAGAATTAGCTTTTCAAAGCAACTTCAGGTTGCATAAGACCATACTTATAATTGAAAATGTAGCATTGTTCAAATTTTCAAATGTGATCTTTTAACTTTTATTTAGACGCAGAATGTGATGTATGACCTCATGTCTGAACTGCAAGAACGAAATGACGATCTTGAGAAGAGGATCATGACCTTGGAGACCAAGATTGACTCCCTGAATGGTACTCTTCATGCTCTTCCAGGGCTTATAGCTCAGGCTCTGCTCCGAGAGCAGGGAGAACTCTTCCTCCTGCGGTCCCACAGGCCTTTTCCCCCTTCCAACAGCTCGGACAATTCATGGAGCCCCCCTCGGAGACGTACCTCTCCTTCCACTGCCCCTCACACCTCTTCAGATAGCGGCTGAGGAGAGAAGAGGACAGCTGGAATTCAGGGTGGGAGTGGTGGAGTGAAGACCTAACAAGCTCACCTTTTATCCATAGCCACTATGTGGTTTAATTATGTCAGCTTTTTTTCTTAAAAGCCTTGGATATTTGTTAACCCCTGAGGGTTCTTTGAAAATGCTGGAGTGAAAGTTCTATCAAAAATGAAAAAGAAAATATAAAAATGTTTGTGTAAACACGCACACGCGAGTACGCGCATGGCGCGATTATCTCTCTCTCTGTTACAGGGTGATCCTGCGCAGTGATGGGGTATAGTCCAGTCTAGATAGATTTCTAAATCAGTCTGCTAAAGAAATCTCCAAATTGTATTTATTTTGTTTTAAAATAGGTTTTTAAGGTTGTCTGCCTTGTGTTTTGTTACTGATGCAATTACCTTTGTCCTGAGGCTTGCAGCTTCATGTTTTTAAAAACTGATGGGCAGTCAGCCATATTTTTTTAAATCCCCCCCCCAGCCAAAAGAAAAAACTGTGTATGTACATAAAGATATATAAATAGGAATCGAGTTGATAAAAATAGTATAGATTTTAAAGAGCCACATATGAATGAGATGGGACTGCATGTAACCTTGTTTTTGTCAGAGGAAATTGCAACATTCATCTGGCAGGAAGGTGTTGAGTTGTTAGTGGACCATTAATTGGTCTTAAACGTACGTGTGTGTGTTTACATATATATAAATATGTATATATAAGTATAGCCATATATATTTATATATACATATATAGTATACAAGAAAGCATAACTCTGTATTTTTTTATACTTTTTGTTTCTGGAGTGGTGTAATATGTAGTATGTCAGAGTTACTGCCCCACTGGGTGACAAGCATTATTGGACGAGGGCCATGGTAAATGGTGTGTGAGATTGGTATCTGGTTCTTAAAAAATCTGTAATCTTTTTTTCTCTCCCTTCCCCCCTCTCTCTCTCTCTCTCCCTCGCTCTATCTCTCTATGTTTTCTTAAACAATATATTCAGCATATTTGCATTGCATATATGCATTCCACACAGAAGCCATTTTGTTTAAAGTCTATGTGTATCCAACCTTTTTTTGGTTTTGGATAGGGCAGAGAATGGATAAAACTCATGTTATTTTTTACTGTTTGTGTCTTGCTGGAGAGATTTTCATAAATTTTCTGTCCTTGAGGTACAACAGGAAATGAGAGAAGATCTCCACTAAGTGAGGGGAATTCCCGTCTTAAACAGTTTTCACCAGAACAAAAGTCCCCATTGGGTAATTTACCCTCACCATTTTTTGCAATGGTAATGGGGACAGAATGGGTGACACAGGAATAAAAACTTAACAGTGGGTCTTAACTCTACCCAAAACTTTAAAAAAAATGCCTTTTCAAACACTTATTCTCTTGAAACAAGAGAACGAGTTCTTCAAGAAAACATGCAGTTCTTGATATTTTTTATTCTAGAATTAAAATGTTATTCCCAGAAGCATACCATTATTCATTGTATAAAGCCCTAGCACCTTTACCACATTTCTACTCAACCTGGCCAACTTACAAGTAAATACATAACTTAAAACAGATGGAATTATTCTGAACCAGATCCAGTCTCAATATGACACCTAGTCCATGTTTCTCCCACTGCACCCGTAGGTCAGTGTAGGACACTATGATGCCCACTTAGGAGGGTTGTAGTCTTCCCAAGGACACTGTTGGATTCTGTATTGACCATTATAACTTGAAGTGGGGAATTCTGTATGCAATGGGTTAATAAGGTTATGAGTTAGTTAATTGGATTTAACACTAGATTATAATTTATTTTTTAAGTTAGAATTTTCAGTGCACGCCAGTAGTAAATGTATGGAGATGACAGCAGCCTTTAGTGTAGAAGAAGGAAATGAATAGTGAGAAACTGTCTGGGTTGGGTGTGTTATTCTGTTTGGGTAGGCACTTGGGTATTGTATGTTTATGCCATTTGTTAGCATTAGTCTGAGTTTTCTGCAGACATGAAAGACGTCATTGGTGGTAAAATCAGAGCCACTTATGTTAGAAAGCTTTATGATAGATATTAGGTAAAAACTAAAAACATGGAATATTACTGATTAACTTTTTAATTATTCTATATAGTCAGTGTTGGAAGATGGGCTATGTAGCATGATGCTTTTACTGGACCTAATACACACCTGAATATTCAAATTGTAGGTCCACAGATGGTATATTTTTTAATGTGAAAACAGTTGTTGGTTCAGTTCACTAATGCATGATGCCATGTACTCCATCTGTCCATCAGCACCACAATCTGGAGGGAGAATGCTGCTGCATAAATGTTGAGTTTTTTATGGATGATACCAGGTATACTGGGTAAGCATGTTCTATATGAAACACTATTTCCATAGAGGGCACTGACTACCTTCCAGAATCTAGTCAGCTTCCAACTTCACTCCAAAGCAGGTATTCTTGCTGAGGAAAACCAACCACCTCTCAACTCCAAAATGTGTACAGTGTCTATCCAGCACTGAAAAGGTTGATACCCCCTGCATTTTAGGAAGGGTTGGTAATGTTAGTTACCCAGCTCACACTAGTAATATCTAATTTCTAGGTTTTTATTTTAACGGACGTAAAAAAGATACTTAGAAGCTATAACCAATTTTCTAGAAAATATCAGAATGCCACAGGTCTAGAAAAAGAAATAAACTCTGTTGGAGACTTTTTATGGCTTACTGTGATTTGTTTGTTTGATCATATGCTGCTGTGCAACACTGAACACTTCTTCTGTAGCACTGTTCATGCATTTTGACATTTAGAAAAAATAATAATTAACAACATTAGCCGCAGGCTGAGTTGTGGCTACAATTCTTCATCAGTAAAGAAAAATGCATAAAAAAGTAGCCCACCAGATACAGAAAATCTCAACTGTAGTTATATACTTATTAAAGGAGAACTATGAGATGAGTGATTTCCACTCATCTCATAGTTCTAAGCCGACCTGTGACAATGAGACTGTCACAGGTCGGCTCAGTAGATCGGGAGGTGAGGGAACACATACCGGGTTCCCTCACCTCTCGATCCTGTCACGGCTCTCTGCCGTGACAGGAGGAGGGGCTGGATTCCCCTCCCCCGCTCCGATCTGCCAGCGCTGACTGGCGGAACGGACGGGGGAGGGGGTGGGTACAGCTGGCTCTGCCTCTAGGTAGGCAGAGCCAGCTGTCACTCACGCAGCTGGGCGGATCCCGTCATCTACGTCGGGATCCGATCCAGGTGCGGCGTCTCAGTATACCGCGAGCTGTAGCTCGCGGTATACTGAGCTTAGGGTAACGGGAGGACGCTAGTTTGTGTCCTCCCGTTACCCTAAGGAGAACTATGGGGAAAAAACTGACCCCATAGTTCTCCTTTAAAGCCCAATTCCTGTTTTAATGTATTCAAAAAATATCAGTAGCCCAGCAATTACAAATATAAAAAATGTTCAGGAACAGTGTCATCAGGGGAAAAAAGTAATAAAGGTCCGACCCTTCCCCACACTGCTAAAAAAAAAAAAGTTTTAGTTGTTGCCTTTTTCTCCACTGAAGAAATGTTCCTTATCCCAGGAGGTTAAGCAAAGACAAATCTTCCAAGGTGCTGTATTGGAAGCTGGATACAACTACAGAACTCTGCATACTGAATTTAACATATCACAACTAAATGCAAGGACAGAAGCAAAGAACAACAAAACAGTGAAACAGAAATTTGCAAAAATCCCAGTACATTGTATCCCAGAAATCCCAGTGCAAGACACAGGCAGTCACTCAGAGCAATACAAGTGATAAGCTTACCCTTGTGATCCTTTTGTTACCGGCCATTGTGTTTAGTCAGCGAGTCACCACAACTAGCTCCATACTTCTCAATTGTCTGGAAGATCATGGCCACTGCCCAGCATTCTGGTCTGGAAACCCAGTCCTTGTTCTTAATGAAATGCATCTGCAGAAGTATGAGCTCAATCACCATTCACACAGAGCAAAAGCCTGCCAGGAGAAGTGCTGTCCATATTAAAGGATACTTCTATAATGTACTCCAAGAAAAGGATTTTACAGGACAACATCTTCTTCTCATACATTAAAGAACACAGGATGGTAATCTGAAACTATAGGGCGGCACTCGGAAAGTGGGATGATCAACACAGCAAACAAACCAACAGGCCCATGTAGCCAATGGTTCAATAGTAGGGGCTTGATAGGACTCAGCGAGCCACATGAAACACCTTACAACTAGAACAGGCATCAGATGAGGCCTGAACATCCACCTGGTAAAATATGACAAACAAATGAACAGAAAACCAGATGACAGCCTCGAAAATCTGAGAAACAGATGTCTGATGCTAAAAAGCCAATGAAGCACTGGATGATCTGGTGGCATACACATTAACAGGGAAGGTTGGAACCCTATTCTTTAGACCAGAGCTCAAAATTTCCACTCGCCCCCTCGCAAATTGCGAGTGAAAATTTCGTGGGGGCGAGTGGAAATGAAGCTATTGAGTCTGGCACTGTCATGGACAGAAGCGGCTGCTCGTCCAGCCATAGATGATCGATCAGCAGCTCCTCCTCAGAGCGCAGAGCTGACTAGGGGAAGTGTCCTGGCTGCTTGCATTGCACATGCTCAGTGCAAGTTTTCTTTCCCAGAGAGTGTCAGCGTCAGTGTTCCCAGGGCAACCCGGCCGCCCGGCCGTGGCTCTGAAACCCGATCTTTCTGCTGTAACTGAGTGAACTCTGCAGAAGTTAGAGCAGTGATTAACCCCTACTGTGCCACAGGATCTATACGGTTTGGGCACACAAATGTATTGATTAATATAAGCAAATGTGTTTGTGTAATGCTGATGGTATGCCCTGCGTGTAATGCTGCGTGTATGCCCTGCGTGTAGTGCTGCGTGTATGCCCTGCGTGTAATGCTGCTGGTATGCCCTGCGTGTAATGCTGCATGTATGCCCTGCGTGTAATGCTGCTGGTATGCCCTGCGTGTAAGCCCTGTGTGTAGTGCTGCGTGTATGCCCTGTGTGTAGTGCTGCGTGTATGCCCTGCGTGTAGTGCTGCGTGTATGCCCTGCGTGTTGTGTGTATGCCCTGCGTGTTGTGCTGCGCGTATGCCCTGCGTGTTGTGGTGCGTGCATGCCTTGCGTGTTGTGCTGTGCGTATGTGTAATGCGCTGCATGTTGTGCTGTGTGTGTTGTGTGTGTGTTTGTGCTATGCCTGGTATTGGTCCAGCAAGAGAATGATTAGTTTGTTCCCAGGTACACTTGGTACATCTGTGCAAAAGAAGGATAGGATGGAGTGGGGTCAGGCAGGGCAACTGGTGGCGAGTAACTTTTAAGGCCTGGCTAGTAGCTCAGGACCTGAAATTTTGAGCCCTGCTTTAGACCCTTGGTTCTCAACTGCTGGGTTGTGACCCAAAAGTGGGTCACGACTCCGTGTTCAGTGGGTCGCCGCGTGCCTTTAATACATGCATTGCTTACAGCTCCCTCGCGTGCCCTGTAGAGGTGCATGGACCAGAGTGACATCACATTCTGCCTCCCAGCACCTCTACAGGGCGCGTAAGGGACAAGCAATGCACATATGGATGGAGCTCCGTCACAGCACAGCAGCCCACATTGAACCCCAGGCTGAGGATCCACTCCAGTTCTCATAAGGTAGGGAGACTGGGTGGATCTTTAAAAAAAAAAATATTTGGGAGTGTGTATGAGATTGTGATTGTGTCACTGGTTGTTGTGTGTATCTGTCAGTGTTTTTGAGGGCCTGTTCATACTAATACAGTGCGTTAATTGAACAGTCCTGTGCGGTTAACACACTGTACAACGCAATTGCACCTACTACACGTTCTGGTGTGGGAGGTGTGTTGTTTGCCATTCATATGAAAAGCACCCCAAACGCACCGCCCACCCACAGTTCAATCGCCCGCACCGGAACGCATGTTAC